TGGCAGTGGGCCTTGGATGAACTCTCTTAGGCAGAGAGTTGTCTCATCTGTAAAAAAGGAGTAATCACAGCCCCAAGTCATAGGGCTGTGTGTGTAAAGCAAGCAGCACCTAACTGGAAGTCGTAATTATGAATGACTTAGTAAATGCCAAGCACTCTTTCAGGTACTTGCATTATCTTGTTTATTTTTCCTAACACTTTCTGAAGTGGGTAGTGTTGTTCCCATTTTATAGATGAGGAAAGGGAGTCACAGGGAAATGAAGTCTCACGGTCTGGCTCTGGCTCTTCCCCTCTTACCTATGTGGATAGGTGCCCGGTACACAGGAAACATTCCATCAGTGGCCACGGATGCAAATAACAGCCACCCACTGTCGCCAGTTAGGGTGTAAAAGCCCCACTGCTGGGCGGTGCACTGCAGCTGGGCCCTCAATTGCCTGTAGTCTTTTTGGGGATCATTTCCTGAAGTACTTACCCTCCTGCCATCTTTGAAGATCATTTCCTTGAGCATGAGCTCTATTGCCACCCTTTGTTTTACTCCTCAATAAAAGACCACTGCAGAAGTTGTTTGGGGCTCTCTTGCACCTCTGGGGAGCCTCTCCTCTTGCAGCTTGTACTGTCAATCCGGGTCCTGACTGATTCTTTCATGCAGTGGGGGCGACAGCCCTCAGGGCAGCTCCTCCTGGGGGTATATGTTGGGGACAGCCTGTCTGCTGTTTTCTCCTTTCTGATATCAAACCAAAAACTGCAGAAAAGAAAGCTTAACTTTTTCTCTTTTCATTTATCTCTGTGATTCCTTGAGATTAAGAGGAAGCAAATGTAGCATATGGGAGTAAGTGAGCAGTCTGAAGTATTGGAGATTTCCCTCGAATAGTTCTGAAGGTGCGAGTACCACAGGGACGTACCTGTAGATATGGGAAGCAGCTTTCTGTATGTTCCAATGCACAGTTCTTGGTTTCCTACAGGTTTTGCCTTTGAGGTCCACATTATTTTAGCTCTGGTGATTTCTTCCCAGTAGTTGTTTCTGTCACCAGTTCCTCCCCTCCTGCTGCTCTGTTTTAGGTACACATACATACCTGTGAGCCAGAGGCTAATTTCAAGCTTCATCAGAAGTGCTCTGTAAGGAGGGTTTGTTGTCGATTGACCAGAATAAGAGGCCTCTTACACAGTTTAATACTAACCACAAAAAAAGCTAAAATCTTAGAACAAAGCATAAATAATAATAATTAACAGTAAACCTACTGCTCTTCAGGTACTAATTCTCAGTCAGTTTATCAAATACCTTATAATGGGGTGATTTGGTGATAATGGTCACTGCCCTAGTTGTGCCTAATTTAAACCTTTGGTATCTGAAAATTCTTTTTTTTTGTTTGAGACAGACTGAGTCTCACCTTATTGCTCTCACTAGAGTGCCGTGGCATCATAGTGCCCAGAAACTTCAAACTCTTGGGCTTAAGCAATCTTCTTGGCTCAGCCTCCCCAGTAGCTGGGACTACAGGTGCCCTCCACAATGCCTACCTATTTTTAGAGACAGAGTCTCGCTCTTGCTCGGGCTGGGTATCAAACCTGTGAGCTCAGGCAATCCACCCACCTTGACCTCCCAGTGAAAAATTTTTAAAAGTAAAATTATTGGTATAAATTGTACTATAATGTAATATTTTACCAGTTTAACCAAGTTAATTCTGTTTCACTCTTTGCTCGTCCTTGAAATAATGGTGCTTTGAGAATGAAGACAAATAATATATCACAGTAGACAAGAGTGCAGGCTTTGGGTTCAATAGACCTGGGTCCAAATTTCAGCTCTGACACTTACCTGTGTCTTTTTGGACAAGTCTCAGTTTCCTTAAATGTATTTTAAGGATAACACATTCCCTTCACCTGGTTTTGTAAAGGTAAGTGTATGAAAAGCATTAAGCCCTGTCCATAACAACCAGTAAGGGCTCATGACACTGTTCTTTTGTTACATGGGAACAATCTCCTGTCCAACCTGGGATCAGTGAAAACCTCTTCACTTTGAGTCCAGCATGCTTCTCCCACCACCAGCACCTCAGTGACATACATTCTTACCTAGGTCCTTAAGCCCATCCTTTTGACATCACTTTCATGCTATAATTACAAACTATTCTTGCACTTACTTTATGTTTATCTCTTCTCCAGTATAAATATGGCTCTTGATTAGGGACCACGGCCTAAAGTCCGTCTGAGTGTTAGGAGCTCAGAAAATGCTTCATCCCCGTGGCCTCCTGTTCTGTCTCCAGAGGCACAGCACTCTTTTCCTTTGGTCCACAGCCACCACCTGAATTTCCCACCTGAACTTGGAGGCCATGTGAGAAAATGCCTGGCCTAGCTGGTGCTGCTGATATTCTCTGTGATCTTTGATAAAACTCAGATGTTTAGGTGCAGATAACTTCTTATGGATAGATACCTTCTTAAAACACACAAGATCTTTCTACATAAAAAGTGAGCAGCTGAGTTCTCTGATGCTGTCCTAATTGTTGGATCTTCTGCTAGTTACATTAGTTTTATAATCTGGCTTATGTTGAGAGAATTTGTTGGAAAAACTGTATGAGAGGAAAACAATTAGGACTTCTAGTTAGTCATGGACTTGTATCCGTCTTAGTATAGAGAAGAAAGATTTATGACCCCTCAGCTGTTTATCTTGATTGAAAGGCAAATAACTTTGCATGTGGGTAGCTGCACTGGCCAGCACAGCACACATCTCTACTCATATCTGCCTCTCTGGTGGTTCTATGATGCTATTGGTGGTGGCTGGAAACCCAGAGGGTGTGGTTAACATTTCCTCATATGAAGATGCAAATGCAAGAGACCAGTGAGTCATATTTTTCCATGATTATCATACTGAGCTCTGCTGGGGTTTTGCTGCATCTCGCCATGGGTGTAGGAGGCATACTGATTTCTCGGCATGTGTGGCATTAGCCTGGATATTACAGTTGAGCAATTTGCAGGAAAAAATAATGGTTAACCTAAAAGCATTTCTTTTAATGATTTGAGGTAGGCTCCAGCTTTCGAAAGGTAGTTTTTACCTTATACATTAAAACAGCTCTAAAGCTGACATGCATTTTTTTTTTAAACTTTGAACTAGAGACCATGTCCTTAATCATGGCTGAGTTTCTTGAATGTAAAATTCTAAACTATCGTTATGGAATAAATGTTGCTCTTGACCTATTAACATTATTAACTCTGTTGCTCTGCCCTTGAAAAGTGTTCTATCTTTCTTTCATTTCTATATAAATAGAAAAGACTTGCTATAGTCTAGATTCTAGGGTTTTTATGGTGTTTTTGACTCGTTTTGGCTCTTCTTTGAAAATGAATTTATCCTTAGGTTAATCTTGTAGAGACTCTCCAACTTTGTATATCTTAACCGTTTTCTCAGCCTAACTTGAGATTATTTCATGGTCACTTATCATTATTTTAGAATTTGCTTCTAAACATTTTAAGTGAAGTGATCAGATGAGTTTGGAAATTTTTTTTGAACTGTGCATTCTGCTAAATATTCTGGAGAAACATTTTGGCTCTGCTCACGCTGTTAATGCCGGTTACATCACGGGAGATATAGATTTCTTGGGCGTGCAAAATGATTGCATATTCATGAACATCTTCAGTTCTGAAATATTTGTAAATAACTTGGCAATTTTTTTCATAAGGTTGCCTATTAAAATGATTAGGACTTTAATTGTTCACACAGAAAGAACTTGTCTTTACAAAGCATCACCAATTGGATAAGTAACATTTCTGTGCTAAGCAACTCAGATTATGAACAGATAAGTCACCTTCCTTAGACAAACTATAAGAGATGCTATTTTCTGCTTAAGAATGATTCGAGTTTGAAAATGTCAATAGATGCAAAAAGCCACCCTAGAGCTTTGCTCTCTGGAAAGAAAGAAGAGAAGGAATGACATAGTCAATGTTAACTGTCACCAGATGAAGAGAAATCAGATTGTCAGGCCTGGATCTATAAAATTCTTGCCAAAGTAGGACCTCATTTACACATACAGATCTTCATACCCTTTGCTAAGAAAAGCATCTGTGGCAGTTTAGATGTTTGTGCGTTTGCCAAAGATCTTTCACTCTGAATAAAGTAAATGTCATGTCTGTTGTTTATCTCAAATTCAGCGGAGTATTTTTTTTAAAGGAAATATTTGCGGGGGAGGGTTGAGAGGGAGAAGGGGGAAGGAAATTGGGGAGCTCCAGTTCGTTGGGTGTGGCTGTTTTTACAGAGGTACTCAAGTAGCAGACAAGATCCAGATAAATAAGCTTAAAACATACTTGGGATCCGGAAGAGAAAGTGTCCTTTGGAAGTGACAACACTGCAGTGAATTGGAACGTGGAGTCTTCCTGAATCTGTACCTAGGCTGTCAACACCAAAAAAAAAATCCAGTTAATTCAGTCAAACTGATTATTTGGCATCATGTAGACACAGCTGTCTTGAGCTAAAATTTTGAATCCTTAAAGATAGATGGCATTGTACCCAGAGCCAGCTGGTACAAGGGCATCTATCTGTAATTGTATATAAAAGCTTACTGAGACTTTTTAAAAGGTTGGAAATAGAACTTAATTGTTCCAAGTTCAAGCTGGACCCCATTGAATAGTGATTTTCTAAGAAACAGAAACAAAAAAACATAGGTTGTGATAAAATGTCTTGGCAAATAGGTACTCTTGATAAATTCAGACTGCTCAGAGTATGATGTGGTAATTTGACTGTGTAAATTGCCGTGAATATAAAAAGTAAAGGGAATTCTCTGTGTACCTTCTTTAAAAACTGTATTTAACCAGGCTTACAGGCATCAGAGTCACGATGAGATCCTAATGTACAGTAAATCCTGAGACTTTCCTTTAGGACAACTCCTTCAGGTGATGCAACAAATTACACCATGCTTTGCAAAAATCAAGTATTTGCCTCAGATACGTGTGATTTGCTTTATCAGTATCGTTTGTTCCATGGAAGTATTTTGTGTGACTTTTAATATCGCTTTCTTCCCCCAGATGACATGGAAGCCATTCCTGTCAAACAGTTTGGTAAACACATCGGTGAGCTCTATTCTAATAACCAGCACGGGTTCTCTGAGGATTTTGAGGTATGTTTCAAAACTGGAAATGAATTTCCAGAAAACTCGCTCTTATTTTTTGGAGATCTTTGTAAACTCAAACTAAATTTATTCCAAGTATAACAAATTAGTAACTGTGGAAAGTAGGGATTGTAATTTTAGTGAAATGTGTTAAGATTGACACAATCTTCAGGGGAACCAGAGTGTCACTCGTGATTTTAACAGGCCTGCCTTTCCCAATAAAACCAGGTGAAAATGGGTCAGGTGTGCTCATCCCGACCATCCACTTCTGTGAAAGACCAGACTTGGTGTTAGAAAAGAGGCAAACTGGTGGGGGTTGTTTTTCAGATTCTTTCTTCATCTTCTAACTGGGAACAACAGTCATAACGCAAAGCTCCCTGATCCCATGTCTTCCCGGTGGTGCATGCGGCACGCCGGAGACAGGTTTGGCATCTGAGGGAGGTGATGCTGGCTCCACCAGTCGTAGTGAGCTCTGTGATCCTTGGGCCAAACACTTCATCTCTGGTCCCCCGTTTCCCCATTTTAAAAAATGGCCACTGGCTCGGCGCCTATAGCTCAACCGGCTAAGGCGCCAGCCACGTACACCTAAGGTGGCGGGTTCGAATCCCCAGCCTGGACTCGCCAAACAACAATGACGGCTGCAACCAAAAAATAGCCAGGCGTTGTGGCGGGCGCCTGTGGTCCCAGCTACTTGGGAGGCGGAGGCAAGAGACTCGCTTGAGCCCAGGAGTTGGAGGTTGCTGTGAGCATGATGCCACGGCACTCTACCCAGGGGGACAGCTTGAGGCTCTGTCTCAAAAAAAAAAAAAAAATGGCCACTAATGGTACCCATATCCTAAAAGTTGTTGGAGAAAACGAAATGATTACCATCTTCGCAAGTGGCTGGGCTACTTGTTAAGAACCATGTGAAGGCTGACTGTTGTTGTTTTCCTTATTATTAATCCTTGGAGAGAAGACGTGGGTTAACACAGCCTTCGAATTTTAAGAACTGGTGTGTAGGAAACAAGGTAGAGAGCAGCACGCACCACCCTGCCAGCTCTGGGTTCCCTGCCAGTTCAGCAGTGACAGGGTGTCAATGAGGAGCTATTAAACAGACTGCCCTTTTCTTCACTGAGGCACTTAACTAAGGCACATCTCTGGCAGCAAGAGTTGTGCCGAGGAGGCCAAGTTTTCATGGCAGCTCAGCTGTCTTCTATCTTTGTGGCTAAGTCAACTCCTTTCTCTGTCTCATTTCTGTTTTAAAATGGAAATGATGATGATGATGATGCTAGCTCACCTCTTTTAACAAAATCGGTGATGGGACTGAAATGAACGGAAGGTTAGCACTTTGGGTTCATCTGGAGTTATACAGCTGGGAGGTGCAATTATCTTGCATGAACAATAAGAAATAAAAACAGAGCGAAAAGCCCCTGTCTGTATGCAAATTTGGAATCTCCAAAGGCTATCATAAAGGCAGTTATATTGACAACTCGTTTTAAATTAAGTCTCTCTTAGTTTTTTGTTTGTTTGCTTGTTTGTTCTACCGCAGAATGAAAGCAAAGGTGATAGAACCTCTGATTTATTCTGCAAAGTCGTATGTTTTTATGGAACAAACTAAAGCATGTCAAGTATTTAATGTGGCTATTAGAGGCTTACCAAAAAAGGTGCCTATTCAACTACAAAGAACATGGTTTAAGTCAAACATTTTGTATTCATGAGGACAAGCAAATGTGTGTAGTGTTAAAGTGATTTAGTTCAATTGACTGTTGGCTGGATGACTGAGCAAGAATATTGAGGCATTTAACAATGTTGATGGTATTCAGGACAAACATTTATCCTCTAGAGAGCAGAATTTGATCAGGATGATCAAATGCAACTCTGGTTTCTCAATTATTTATGATTTGAGACCCCAGTGCTATTCATCACAGCTGGTTTTGACACCATTTAATTATTCAAAATAATCAGCTACACCTCTGTAAACTTGATCTGACTTAAAATGGGTTTTGCTGCATCAAAATCATGCCTGTTAACAAATCATGGGTATCTGTGCTCTATTTCTTTCCTTAAAAAAAAAATACAGTGGCTAAAAGCATTGGTCATGTACATTGAACTTTCCAGCCTAAATTTTATTAGTTGACAGTTAGGGGAGTGGAATGGGGAGGGCAGGCAGGAAAGGAGGCATCATTCTATGGTAACCATTTCACAATCTTCCCTGGTTTGAAAGGTTTAAAATTCAGAATAAGAAGAATATCCTTTCTTCAAAAACAAACAGCAAAGCAGCCACATAAAGGGGAGAAAAAGACAGTAGGACAGCTCACCAATATACTGTCACCCTATAAATGAAAATTTTAAGTATTTTAAAATAGTAATATTCCTTTTTAAAACTTGACTCAAAGGGAAAACTGGTAATAGAATACATAAGAAACTGTTAAGGCTATTTTATAAAAGCAATAATAACAGGCTATATATAAGACTGAGCAGAAAAAGATTTTGCCTAATAACAATTTTTATAAACCTATATTATGGTATGAGAGTTAAAGCAATCTCAACTCCAGATTTCCAGACACATTTTGTGGAATAATGGCAGCCAGGATTTACATAGCATGGGGTATGAATTATTTCATTTGTACCTCAAAACTACCCCCCCAGTGGGGGGGGGTAGGTATTGTCTTACTGTCTCCAATTTATAGGCAAGCAGCCTTTACTCATGAGAAAATCAAGGCACTAAGTGGCTAAGTTTTGAAATGGCAGCAGTAGGGTTTAAGACTAGGGCTATGAGACTGGAACCTCGATGCCACCCCAGACTTTTCATTACAGTAGTGTCCCACCTTGAGCTGAAGTCAGAAGCAGAATAACCCAGTTTACTAGCCTGTCTGTCTAAAACTGATCATGTAACTTCCTTGGCAAAAAAGAAAAAAAGGGGGGTTGGGGAGATAGCAGCTAAAATGAGGAGCCTCCACTAAGAGTACCGGGTGCTGGTGACATGGTCTTTATGATCCAGAGCCATGATCTTCAACCGGTGTGCCGTGAGAAGATCTTAGTTGTGCCTCAAAAAATTTGAAGGATCATTAATTAAATTATTTTCAAAAAAAATTTCAAAGCACAGTTAAGTATATTCTCTTTTTTAATCTTTTTTTAACCAACAAAATGTAAGTGTGCCTCAGAGTTTAACTTCAGGTTCAAGGGTGTCACTGTTCTAGAGCCTTCTCCGGTAGCTGAGAATCTTTGACTTTAAAAAAATCTTCTCCAATATTTCAATAGAGGCCTAAAATTAGTCAAAGTGTTAATATTATAGAGAAATACTACTTTAAAAGTTGATACCTCGCTGTTAAGAGATGAGACAATTCATCTAATAGTTGCTGAATACCTACCATTCCCTGGCCTTGATGTAAGGTACAGAGATGAATTAGACAGTCCTGACCCTCACAGAGTGTAGTCTGGAGGCTAAAGGACAGACCAGAGTGTATGCAATTGAAAGTAGAAAACAGACAAAGCAAAACAATTGCTGTTGTGCAGGGATAAAGTTCTGAAGAAGCTCAGAAGAGAAAAGCACCTATGAATTTTGATTGGTCATTTCAGCAAAAGTTCTGCTTACCCATCTTGTTTGAAAATCTTGGAAGAAAAAAAAAATAACTGTCATAGTTTCAGAACTTAGCTGCTGTAAAGAATGAGAAAAACGACTCAGTGGTAATTTTGAATCTTTGTCTAGAAGTGAGGCGGAAAGCTAGCTTTTTGTCCTTGTTGGATGAATTTTGGAGGCAGTGAAAAGCTGGCAATGACATACCTCTAAGCAGACTTCGCAGTCACTGGAAATAACATTAATCCTTGTCTCACGATAGTGTTCCGTGACACTGTTCCCTTGGCTACCTGAGCTAACTTCAACCTCACTGTCCTTCCCGGGGAGTGGTTTCTCAGAGTCAAAGATTGACAGCCTCTTCCCCAGCCCCCCACAGTCAGAATGCAGACGGCTTCTGAAGGCACAGGGCTAGCATGCTCTTTCAAAAGGAGGGTGCTCCAAAGCTCCATAGGTCAAAAGAATTAATAGGCAGGGGCTGGGAGAATCAGAAGTTTAAAGGCTGAGTACAGAGGTGAGGCTAGAGTCTACAGCCTCTTGACAAGATCCTTTGGGGGGATTGATGCTATTGCAATTAACCAGCTGAGCTACATTTGGGCTACTTGTTCATCTTAAATCAAGAGAACAAAGCTTTGTCCACCTGAGCCCATGCTCTGAGGGACCAGTGGCCACAATCAATTTAAATAATGAGTGGAGGCGTCCAGGGTTGCTGATGACACATGATGTGGAGATCCTGGTCAGGGGTGTCACACTGTGCAAAGATAGCCGTCTACTAGAGGGCAGAAAATGACCCTCTGGAGCTTCCTGAGCTTTCACGACAAGATGCCAGTTTGGGCCTCAAATATTTTAAAAATATCCCTAAACCCTCACGATGAAGAAAGTCACAGTGAAGTTGATGCTTTTATGATGAAGGAGAAAAAAAGTGAGTGAGCCGAATTTCACAAACCTCACGTGAAAACCGATTCTCTGTTAAAGACCAGCTGCAGGATAACAGGTGCTGTGTTTACCTCCAAAGCTGGGTTTGGTTTCTGGATGGGAAGGGCAGTCATTTAAGGCAAAGATATGTGGCTAGAAGAGAACAGAGATTCTTAGCGAGGTAAATGGCAATGAAGCAAAAAGCAGGAAATCATATGGTCTTTTTAAAGGGCACAGAGTTAAAACTGTCTGGGCTTAGGGAACAGAGTGAGTGGGAAAGAGCATGGGACCTTGAAAGCCTGGCTAAGGAATTTGGAATGACTCCAGAGGTTTCTGAGTAAAGGAATAACAAAGTCAACACAACATTTGGGGAAAATCAGTCTGGCAGCAGTTTGTAGCTTGATCAAGAGTGGGTAGAAGCAGGAAGATGCAGGGTAACCAGCGCCTGTCAAGGGCAGCTCTGTGTCCGACCCTGCCCAATCTCTGGGCTCCATTCGCGTCCTGACCCCGTTAGGGCTCTGTAGCACAGTCTCCTTGACACAGCTGTAGGCTGCCTGAACTGAGACAACAGCCATGTTACACCTACTCACTCTAATACTTGGTGACCAGATCCAAAATATTTTCTTCTCAGCTTGCTTTGTGGAACTGAGTAATCTGAAATATTTCTAGATGTGTTTTTGTTGAATTATTTTTTCGAATTGAGCCACAGAACAGTAGGACAATTGGCCTCCAGTGTTCTTTAGAGAGCTTCTGACATGGATGCTGTGGAGCAGGGGGGCTTTGGCTTGCCATCTCCCAAGAATTCAGGGTATATCAAATTCTAGTGTTTTTCTTTGTTCCTTTTTTTTTTTTGTACTGTTATTTTAAACCTCCTGTTGTACTTTGGCCCTCTCCTGTGGTTGTATGCCTATTATTATTCAGAATATTCATTCTGAGAGTTCCAGCTTTGTTTTACAGATAGTAAAATACAAACAAGCTTTACTCTTAAACTGTTTATCAGAGTGCTAAGTACGTAACTTTAGCATATATACCCAGTGTCCCTTTAAAGGGTTTTAACACCTTTTAAAATCACATTAAATTTGAAATGCCAGTTCTAATGGAGAAAAGCCACTCCAGGATCAGATGATATTATCAGCATCTAAATGACCCTGGCAGTACTACAAGGAATTTCAGAAGACATTATTATCTATAAGACAAAATCAGAAGGCCTCAGGCAAACCCCATGAGTTCTTATATAATCAAATTTAACATTATTTATGACTATTCTTTGTTTTCTGTCATTCACATAATTGGAAAAGTGAAATAGAGACAACAGATCAGAATAGGGGTTTTAGATAACAAAGAGTTTGATTGGTCATGTTGAATGACTGCTTTAAACAATACAGACAGCTGCTCCCAAGCAGTCTGGGTCAGTCGCAGTATATTATAATAGAGGCCCCACCTTAGTCTGTTGCTGGGGAGGTCAGATCCACAAGATTAAAAAAAAGAAAATCAATGAAGTGAATCTCAGACTAACATGCTAAAAGGTACAGTCTCTCAGCATAAAATATCTGAATAGCACAGCCTGAAAAAGTACATGCCAAACAAATGGCCTTCAAAACCAGGAAACAAAAGAATGTTCACTCGTTTCAAATATATTTTTAAAAGTTCTCTGCCCTCAAAACTATCCACAAGAACATGCCTCAAGTTTTTAACACAATTCCAAAAGACAGGTCCTAATATTCCAAATTTGGCTAGCACTGCTTATGTTCTTACAGACGTTAACCTATCAGAATAATTACTTGGTGACCACCCTGTTATCTCAGTCTAGAGAAAAGAGCCAAAGGCAGCCACAAGCCTCTTAACCGGTATTTTCCAAACCATAGGTTATAAATTATTTTATAATAACAGGAGATATCAGTGCTTATCACATTTTTAAAAAAGAAATGGGTAAGAATTGTCATGAAACTCAGTTTCCCAAGGAGGTGAGTTGTATTATTGCCTGTGGGGCTTTTTTTTTTTTTAATGGACAGGTGGAAAGGCCCACCATTATGAAAAATGCAATCAATATACAGCATGCAAGAATTGGAGAGCCAATGAATATAGTTTCTTTGAACAGATAGAAATCCTTTGTTTCTACACCTGAAGTTCTTTGATTACACTGAATTAGGTCCTCCTTGGAGAGAAGAGGACTCCTCACTGCAAAGTACTTTGTAAAATATAAAAGACAACCAGGTCCTTGTTTTCATTATGCTTCATGTAAATGCTGTCAAAAACCTCCATAATTGCTATGTAACTCCTTTGTGGAAAAAAAATCTGCATGTTCCTAAACTCTGCTACATCTGTTACATGTAAAACATCTCTCCTGGTAATTTTGTGTTACTTTTCTCCTGCTCTTTGTAGCAGCTGTACATTGCTAATGACTTCCCTTACTGTAACAGTTAGCTCGAGTACTTTCTTGGATTTGACGCATACAGTGTAGAAAAATTTGAATTTTCAGCAGCTTTGTGTTAGGCTAATGTATGATGTTTATATCCAAGGTGAAGGGAGTGGAAGAGAGTCACTTGGCCACTGCTATTTTTCTAAAGAGGGGTTATTTAAATAAAATTAGAGTTCACAGGTAATTTTTGACAGTCATACCTGCTGAGCTAGATATGCCAACTAGCGGGGCTGTGCATTTGGGTCACTGTAGGACTGGTCTTTATAGTCCATTTGCAATCTCCTGGTCATAAAATGAGGCTGTAACCAGGAGGCATATTGCAAATTGTGGTAGAGATTATAGTGAAGGGTGAAATCTGTATGCCTTCTTCATAAGTTTGGTTATGAATGTATCAGTAATTATATCTGAAGTTGGGTTTGGGAAGGTAACTGTGGCTATGGGTAGGGAGTGGTAATACTTTATCCCCATGGATATATATAGTGTTCCTTTCTTTCAAAACACTGTCTGAAATCTTGCTGTTTTTTTCCTTCACTAGGAAGTCCAGCGCTGTACAGCTGATATGAACATCACTGCAGAACATTCCAATCATCCAGAAAACAAGCACAAAAACAGATACATCAACATCTTAGCATGTGAGTAATAAACTTTAAACTATCTTCAACTGCGAGGAAATTAAATTTTCATACTCAGTATAAGCTGGAAGCCAAGCAGTCAGAAGCCGTATGCCAAGAAAGATACTTGCAAGCTAACCTCTCATTAGCCCCTCTTCAACAGCCCCAAGAGGAAGTGGGGACGTTTTCTTCCCCCCTCGCCTTGCATTAAGCTGTCAGATCTCAGAGAACTTAGTAAGGTGCCTGAAAGAAAATATTCTGAGCTTCACTGTTTTCACATGAAACATGAGAGCCAAAGTTTGTCAGTCGGCTGTCTTGACATTGGTTTTACCTGTGAGGCCAAGTCTTTTCAGTACACATAGAAATACTGGGAATTGATTAAGGAAAGCCGATTTGCATAGCAATCTTCTTTTTTTTTTTTTTTTGAGACAGAGCCTCAAGCTGTCCCCCTGGGTAGAGTGCTGTGGCATTACAGCTCACAGCAACCTCCAACTCCTGGGCTCAAGCGAGTCTCCTGCCTCCGCCTCCCAAGCAGCTGGGACCACAGGCGCCCGCCACAACGCCCGGCTATTTTTTGTTTGCAGCCGTCATTGTTGTTTGGCGGGTCCGGGCTGGGGATTCGAACCCGCCACCTTAGGTGTACGTGGCTGGCGCCTTAGCCGGTTGAGCTATAGGCGCCGAGCCAGCAATCTTCTTTTTAAGACTAAATAATTGGTCTCTGCCTTAAGTAATGAGCCTCAAGTTCTTCTGGCCCATGTGCTTAGCCCTGTCCAACTTATTTCCAGGGTCAGGAGTATCCTGGAGATTAGGGACTGAAACAAATAGCCATTCTTCATACAGAGCCTTAAGGAATATTTTAGGACCACAAGCTACTTTTGTGGCTAATTGTCCACATTTCATGGACATGTGAGTCTTGGGTCACTGGCAGATAATAAGTACATGTTTTGATATTAAGGGCCAGGGCACAGATATTTATAAGTAATGTACATTATGACAAGGATCACAGGACATAGAATTTTATATTATAGTATATTTAAATTGGCCCACTTAAAATTTGAACGGTACTATGTAGTTTGTTTTTTTGTTTGTTTTTTTTTTAAGAGACAGAGTCTCACTTTGTCACCCTTGGTAGAGTGCTGTGGTGTCACAGCTCACAGCAACCTCCAGTTCCTGGGCTTAGGTGATTCTCTTGCCTCAGCCTCCTGAGTAGCTGGGACCGCAGGCACCCACCACAACGCCTGCCTATTTTTTTGTTGCAGTTTGGCCAGGGCTGGGTTCAAACCCCACCACCCTCAGTATATGGGGCTGGTTCCCTACTCACTGAGCCACAGGCGCCACCTAGTACTATGTAGCTTTTTTAATAAAGCTCTAGTAAGATATAATTCACATACCATATAAATTCACCCATTTGAAGTATACAATTCAGCAGGTTTCAGTATATTGAGAACTGTACAGTTGCGGTCACAACCTAACTGTAGATCATTTTTAGCTCCCCATTAGCAGGGTTTCCTGGTTCCTCCTTCTCCCTACCCCAGGAAACCATCTACCTACGCCCCCGGTTTGCATGGCCTGGCATGTCTGGCCTCTTCCGTGTAGCATGTTTTCAGGATCCATCTACGTGTGGCACATGTAAGCACTTCATTCCTTTTTAAGGATGAATAGTACTCTATTATGTGGACATAGAATATTTTATTTAGCATTTGATGAATATTTGTAGTTTTTCTACTTTTTGGCTATTATGAATAATGCTGGTATGAACATTCATGTGCAAGGCTGTATGCAGACATATATTTTTAAGTCTACCAAGAAAATAGAATTGCTAGGTTATATGGTAAACTATTTAACAATGAGGAACTGCTAAACTGTTTTCTATTTTACATTCCCACCAGCAATATATGACGGGTCTAATGTCTTCATATCTTTACCCACACTTGCTTTCTTCTGGGGTTTTGATAATAGCCATTCTATAGGGTGAGAAGTGGTGTCTGGTAGTTTTGATTTGCATTTTCCTAATGATTAGTGATGTTGACCATCTTCACCTGCTGATTGGCCATTTGTATCTCTTCCTAGGAGACATATAAATGTCTCCAGACATTTTACTCATTTTTTTCTTCAGACCTTTTACTCATTTTCTTTTAAATGGATTACTTTTCTTCTTTCCAGGTTTTAAGAGTTCTTTATAATTCTGGATACAGAGCTCTTCTCAGATATATAGTTTGCAAATATTTTCTCCCATTCTGTGCATGTCTATTCACTTTTTAATGGTATCCTTTGAAGCATAAATTTTTTAAATTTTGATGAAATCCAATTTATTTTTTCCTTTAGTTGGCTGTACTTTTGGTACAGCTACTCTAAGATCATGAAGGGTTTATACCTATGTTTTTGGAGTTTTATGGTTTGAGCTTTTATATTAAAGTCTTAGATCAACTTTGAGTTAATTTTTAGATACGGTATGAAGTAGGTGTCTAGCTTCCTTCCTTTGTTTGTGGATACCAGTTGTCCTACTACCATTAGTTTAAGTACTTTACCATCTTATTGAAAATCAGCTGACCTTAGTGTAATGGTTTATTTCTGGACCCTCAGTTCTGTTCTGCTGACCTGTATGTCCAGCCTTATACCATTTCTGCAGTCTTGATTACTGACTATGTGGCTTTGTAGTAAGTTTCAAAATTGGGAACTGTGAGTCCTTCACATTTGTTCCATTTTTTTTTTAACTGTTCAGCTTTTCTTCCAACAGTGGTTTAAAATCTGGATTGTATGTGTGTTGTGCTGCTTTTATTAAATTTATTCCAAAATGTTTTACTCTTTTTGATGCAATTGTGAGTAGAATTGTTTATTTTGGATTGCTCATTGTGAGCGTATATAAATGCAATTAATTTTTGGATCTTGATCTTACATCCTACAACCTTGGTGAACACATTTATTCTCATAGTTATTTCTTAGGGATCCTTTTAGGTTTCTATATATAAGATCAGATCCTCTATAAAAAGAATTTTATTTCTTAGTAAAGTTTTAAAAGAACTACCAGGTTATTCTTGAATAGGACTATTTGTTTCACTTATCTAAGAGAAGAAGGAGGTTAAAAAGAGCACAAGGAAGAAAGGGTTACTCCCTAGGCTTTGAATAGATGGGGCTATGAGAGTATTTCTTGGCCCACTGTGCTGTAACTAGGGGAATTTGTGCATCTACACACTGCCTTTCTACCCAGACAAATCAGGCAGGGTATGTGTACACCTGTGCCTACATGTGTCTCAGACATCACTCTCTCCACCGTAGCAGCCTTTATTTCTAATGAACTTACTGCCTTGGCTAAAATTATGTGGCCAACGAGGAGAAAGTCAAAGCAACTTCTGGGTGATGTGTGAGAAGGTCATGGTATTTCACTAGAAACCCATCCCCTCTGCTTAAATATGGTTATGCATTCACAAGTTCATTAGGAGTTGTGGTTTTATTTTCACAACTTCAAAGACTTGGGTATTCTCTCAGACCCTGAGATTCTGGGTACATCATGTGCCTTCCTCTGCCCCTATATTAAGGCCTTTATTGAGCAAAGAATAGCATAGAAATGTCATGGAAACAAAAAAAAAATCAGACTGTGGTATGCCAAAAACATGATGTAGGAAAAGTCTTTTTTCACAGAATCATCACAAAGTTAAAGATATACATGGATGTCACCATGTCATCTTCCAAAATTGATTTATCATATATTAACTACTCTGTTACTTTTAGTAAAATAAGAATTTTGCAACTTTAAGAGTAGCATTCTTATTTGTTAGTCTAAGAAATAACAACATACAATATGATGGCTACTAAGTTTGGATCCAGAGGCCTTAGAAGAAATTTTTCATCTGAAGCCTGATTATATTAGGCAGTCCATGTTTCATGTCAACCTAGACAGAAAGTTTGCCAGGATAACAAAAGCAAGTCACAATTCCTAGAATGTGGAGGACTTTCAAAAAGTACTCAGTGTAGGTCTGAGGTCAGTCACGTCTGGGCTAATTGCACTCGTTGGACTTGTTTGTGAACGCACCTTTTATGATGCACCTAATATTTCACCAAACAGAAATATTAATTGGCTTTGCCCATTCTGTTTCTAGCTAGAAAAAATTAAATTACAACCTCAGCTTCCATTTATTTCTTTTGCCATCCTGAAAAATCAGGCTCAGCCAGGCCTGGTGGCTCACACCTGTAATCCTAGCACTCAGGACGCTAAGGCAGGCAGACTGCCTGAGCTCGCAAGTTCGAGACCATCCTGAGCAAGAGCGAGACCTCATCTTTAAAAAATAGTCAGGCATTGTGGCAGACACCTGTAGTCTCAGCTACACGGGAAGCTGAGGCAAGAAAATAGCTTGAGCCCAAGAGTTTAAGGTTGCTGTGAGCTATGATGCTACTGCACTCTAAGGAGGGTGACAAAATGAGACTCTGTGTCAAAAAAAAAAAAAGAAAAAAAACAATCAGGCTCACTTTGTTGGGCAACTAGAAACATATTATCATGCCCACCCTACACACATACACCCTGTTTGTTAATAAACTATGATTAAATAGATCCTAAAATTGGATTGTTGACTTCAGATTCCTGGCAGGAGTGTCCAACCTTTTTTCTTCTCTGCCACACATTGGAAGAAGAGTTGTCTTGGGCCACAGAGTAAATACACAAACACTAACGAGAGCTGATAAACGACAACAAGAAGAAATCATGATACTCACCACCACAAAGAAAAAGAGCCTTCATGTAATCTACATGGGGTGGACACCCCTGCCAGATTATTCTTAAAAGCTGCTATAGTTCCCTTCATGACAGGTTCTTTTGAGATGGCAGGGAATTCAACTGAAGGTAGCAGTGGAATTTCCTGCAAACAGATATTCTGGACTTTCTATAACAGTCACCTTTTTATATTTGAATTAATGGGGGAGGTAGGGAGATGAGTAATCAAAAACCTTAGAACTGGGTTTAAAAGTACAGGACAAGGAAATTTTAGAGAATGGCAGTTTTACATGAACTAATAAGGACCTTAATTTGCATCTCAGATACCTGCAGGCCAGAGAATGAGGTATAAGTAGCGCTGTATTTTCGAGATGGGCTCACATGCTCTTATCTTGACTGTTCAACTCTTGTTCTGCTAAAAGTTTTCTCAGGGCACTCTGGGAGATACCACATTGCCCAATTGCCTTGTGTTGTGCTTTGGAATGCTGCTAGTTTCTGAATTATCCATTTTGTTTCTGCTTTTTTTTCTTACCTTCTACAGATGATCACAGTAGAGTGAAGTTAAGACCTTTACCAGGAAAAGACTCTAAGCACAGCGACTACATTAATGCAAACTATGTTGATGTAAGTCAGAAATATTTTTATAAACTTGTTTGTGGAAATTGAAGACTGCAGCAGAAACTGCTAAACATATTTTAATACTGTATAGAGATTTCACTAAAAACAGCCCATTCGATGTAGAAGGCATTTGAATTATTAACGGGGCTTCTGTGATGCTGCTTTCATCTTACTTTGTGCTGTGTCACCTTTGAAGGGTTACAACAAAGCAAAAGCATACATTGCCACCCAGGGACCTTTGAAGTCTACGTTTGAAGATTTCTGGAGGATGATTTGGGAACAAAACACTGGAATCATTATCATGATTACAAACCTTGTGGAAAAAGGAAGAGTAAGAGCCTTACTATCTTAATCATGCACCTTCATTCAAAAAATATTCCTGGAGTACCTACAGTAGGAGAGGAATCTGACCAGATAGAAAGAGTTACAGAAATAAAAAGTATTCTCTCTGCTTTTACCTTGCTTATGGTCTAGTCAGGAAGAGAGCTAAGGCATTATAAGAGTAAATTAAACTTGGTGGTAGAGATGAACGGGGTATTAGGGGTATGCCACAGAAGCAAGGAATAGGCCCTCTAGCACAGAGATTCTTGTAAAGGGGCTGATATTTGAAGTGAGACTTGAACAACAATGAGGAGGAGTTAACAAGGCTAAAAAAAGATAAGAACAGGCATTCTAAGTGTAGGGGACAGAAAAAACAAAAAGGAGAGAAATTAAAAGAAGCACATTGTCGTCAAGGAACTGCTAATAGTTCAGACCAAGGGAAGCAAAAATTGTTTAAACAAAATGATGGCTAATGTAGCATTTATGGGATTATGAGCTTATATGAGATGATCCTAACTGAGGCTGGAATAACAGCTAAGCCTCAGATTCCCTATTCTAAATCACTATTGCTTCACTTTACAGAGTTCATATTCTGCCTTTGGTGACCCAAGTTGTAACATGAAGATTCTCAAAATTACAAGAGCCCTTCTATAAATTCAGTCCAACCTTATAAATGATACTTCTTTTTTTTTTTTTTTTTTTTTTTTTTTTTTTGAGACAGGGTCTCACTCTGGCACCCTGAGTAGAATGCTATGGCATCATAGTTCATAGCAACCTCAAACTCTTGGGCTTAAGCGATCATCTTGCCTTAGTTTTTAGAGAGGGAGTCTCACTCGTGCTCACACTAGTCTTGAACTCCTGAGCTCAGGCAATCCACTTGCTTCAGCCTCTCAGGATTACAGGTGGGAGCCACCACGCCCAGCCTAGAAATGATACTTCAACTCCCTTTATAGCGCATCCTGCCCTACATTTCTTACCGATTTTTCTTTAAAATACATCATGTAGGCCTGAGCTCAGAAGTTCAAAAGCAGCCTGAACAAGAGGGGAGACCCTGTCTCTACTAAAAATACAAAAATTAGCTGGGCATTATGGAGGGTGCTTATAGACCCAGCTACTCAGGAGGCTGAAGCAAGAGGATCACCTGTGCCAAGGAGTTTGAGGTTGCTGTGAGCTATGATGCCACAGTACTCTACCCAGGGTGACAGAGTAAAATTCTGCCACCAAAAAAAAAAAAAAAAAAAAAAAATCACATATTGAAAGATCATATTGCCTGAGCCTAAGAGTCACAATTATAGTGACTTATAATTGTGCCACTGCACTCCAACCTTGGTGACAGAGTGAAAACCTGTCTCTAAAAAAAGAGATGGTCATGGCCAGGTTCAGTGGCACATGCCTGTAATTCCAGCACTCTGGAAGGCTGAAGTGGGTAGATTGCTTGAGCTCATGAGTTCAAGACCAGCCTGAGCAAGAGCAAGAGGCCCTCTCTAAAAATAAATAAATAAATAAATAAATAAATAAAGTTACCAGGTGTCCTGGCAATGCCTGTAGTCCCAGCTACTTGGGAGGCTGAGGCCAGAGGGTTGCTTAAGCCCAGCAGTTTGAGGTTGCTGTGAGCTGTGATGCCACAGCACTCTACCCTTTTTCTTTTTTTAAAACTCTGTCTCAAAAAAAAAAAAAAAAGAAAGAAAGAGATGATCATATATAACTAGGTCCCTTTCTCATAAATTCTCACAAACTTATCTCAAGCCATCAATCAGCCCGTTCCTCTTTGGAGGTCACATCTGCCTTTAATTAGTTCAGCTTGGCTGCCTTTTTCAGTCAAGTAAATGACAATCTCACCTGTTATTTTAACATTATTTGAAATTACATTATCAACAGCAGAACTGTGCCAAAAATGGCAGTTATAATTTACAACTTTCTTTTCACAGCGAAAATGTGATCAGTATTGGCCAACAGAGAACAGTGAGGAGTATGGAAACATCATTGTCACGCTGAAGAGCACAAAAGTACACGCCTGCTACACTGTCCGCTGTTTCTCAGTCAGAAATGCAAAAGTGAAAAAGGTACGGAAAGAAGCGGCAGGCTGCCAGGCCAGCTTCTCTTTCTTGTATGAAAATTACTGTATATCTAAGGCCAAATCTCATAACCAACTTGGTTTTTAAAAGGTATTTTTAAACCTTTTTTTTGGCAACAACGCCTTTGATTGACAACAGTGGATGGCGTGAGAGGTACTGGCAAAGCGCATAATAGAATTTAAGGGGCCTGCTTGAATTCCTTAATCTCATCATGAACAAGGCTGCCTTTTTTTTTTTTTTTTTAATTATTGTTGAGGGTTCATTGAGGGTACAAGAAACCAGGTTACATTGATTGCATTTGTTAGGTAAAGTCCCTCTTACAATTGTGTCTTGCCCCCAAAAGGTGTGTCACACACCAAGACCTCACTCCCTCCTTCCTTCCCTCTCTCTGCTCTTCCTTTCCCCCACCCCTCCTTCCTTTTTTCTCTCTCTGCTCTTCCCTTGCTTTTTTTTTTTTTTCTAATCATCCTCTGACCTTTTGATAATACTTAGAAAATATGGCAGCATCTGTTTGATTCAGTTTTTCAGGTCCAATTTTCTGACAGCTTTAAAGCATTGGTTCCCAAAGTGTGTTCCAAAGAATGCTTGTCCTATAAAATGCTTGTAAAATGTGATTGTCCTGTTCAGTAAGAATAGGAAATGGGTGCTACATGGTGCATTATCTTTCTCACCGTTTTAGAAATTTATGGTGAACACAAGTGACAAGAGTACTAGAGTTAAGAAAACTGTATGACTTTATCTTGCCTGCTGTTCTCTGATGTAACTTAATAATAAAACTCTTTTCTATAGAACAATGAATGTCCTAAGAATCATTCTAAATGGAAATACTACTTTCAAGTTATCTCAATTTCCATTTTTCAAAATCTGTCACACGGGTATCACAGATTCTCACAGCAGTATAGTGGCACCCCCTTACCTGTGGGGGGATACATTTCAAGCCCACCAACTGGATGCCTGAAACCTCAGACAGGCCTAAACCTATTTAGACTATGTTTTCCTATACCTACTTGCCTATGGTAAAATTTAAATACAAATAAGTTATAAATAAATTTATAAAAATAGCAAGAAATTAACAACTAATAGGAAAATAGAACAATTACAATAATATACTGTCATAAAAATTCTGTGAATATGCTCTAGCACGCTCTTTCTCAAAAGAGAAAATATTATAATACTATAGTATTTTTAGATTATGCTTGACCATAGGAAAGCAGAATAAGGAGGAACTACTATATTATGAATTCTAGATAGAATCATCTAGATAGATGGTCATTATGAAAATATGTAATAGTTGCTTACAGAAACTTTGGTATGACAGTTGTTCGTAGCAGTGGCATTGTAAATCTTTTTTTGGCATCTTGGATATCTCTGAGAATGTTATAAAATTGTACCTACCTTTCCTCAGAAGAATTCATGTTTACTCATTTTTTTAATAAACAGTTTCAGTGGCTCTGAAACCCAGAAATGATCCAAGGTTATCTAATAGTCCTTTTTGTATATAGTTATTTCCAAAAATGGGAGAAATCAGTATGAAAATCAGTAGCACTGTATCTGCATTCTCTGTAATAGAGCTGTTGACCAACTCAAACTAACCAATAACCAGTAGAAACCTTACAAAGCCCAACTCATGCAAACCCTTCAGGTATTAGAAACAGCTAAAGTCAGAGAAAGAAATCAAGTAGGCACTTTAAGTATTTTGCATACTGACAAGGAAAAAAAGTAGAAAAACAAAAGTTCACAGGAGAATTAGAACCTTGAAGCCATCATGGGCCTTTGTATCACAGGACCAGATACCTCACAAGCTTCAGTGTTAATTGATTAATGACCCTGAGTCATCAAAAAAAATTAAAATGTTTAGAAACATTAATAATAAGAAAATATATTAATTATTTAATTTAAAAATTAAAATATTTAGGAATATCTGTAATAAGAAAATAAAAAGTATAACATTAGCAAGTGATCTATTTGAGGGAAATCTGTCATCCAAAGTAGTTTAGAACTTTCTAAAATGTAGACAGTTCATTCACTTAAAGGAAGTGACTCTGTAAAAGTCATTTATGAGAATGATAGGTGAAGATGGTGCCTCTGCCTAACTCTAAAGAGAATCATTTGAAACTTAGAATCTTCCTGTCACTTCCTGGAGAGTTCTCAGCAGCTCCTGAAGGTGCAGCCTGGACAGTGGAGAAGGAAGGGGAATCACAGTCCACAAGCAGATGAAGCAGAACTCTTCCAAGGCAAAAGATTGGGAAGTGAACGCTCATAGGAAAATTACAAAGTGCTTTGGATAATTCCAGATCCAAAATAAATAAATAAAACCTTCATGAAATGACACGAAATGTATTCATTCACAGTATAATCTCCAGGGCTGTGTCTCCATGTAATGATATGAAAGTTGGCCACGAAGAAGAAACAGCCTATCCCAGGAATAGTGATCAGGGTGAATGGGATCAAAGGGTATGTCTCCTGACACCCTTATCTTTTATCCAGAATACCCACCCTCAGCTTAAGGTCTTTTTTTTTTTTTTTTTTTAATCTTCTTCATAGGGTCAGAAGGGAAACCCCAAGGGGCGCCAGAATGAAAGGGTCGTGATCCAGTATCACTACACGCAGTGGCCTGACATGGGAGTTCCTGAGTACGCCCTGCCGGTCCTGACTTTCGTGAGGAGATCGTCAGCAGCTCGGACACCAGAAATGGGGCCTGTGTTGGTGCACTGCAGGTAGGGCCTGCGGTCAGCGCGGGAAGTGGGCAGAGCCGTGGGCTTGGCCACAGTGACTCTGCCCTGGCTTTGTTTAACCTGAAAGCTGACTCTTCTGCTAAGAACTGGAATGAATAAAGCCTGTTACAGTCCTAGAGTCTAGTAACTATATCTCCATAACATTAAGAAATCATCGTCTGCTTCTACAATTTTAAAGCAAATTCTGCTCAACTAGATGAAACTTTATTTTTATCAAGTCATCTTATTATAAATAACATCACCATTGTTCATAGGGAAATTATAGGCTGATCCTAATAAATAAAAGTCTGACCATAAGCACGAGGTTTCCATGCTGGAGATACTTTGTTGTAAATGGCTTTTGTGAAAGGTTCCTCTGAATAATAATATTTCTAGTACGTATGAAAAGATTTCACTTTTAACTTGTTAGTCTACAAATACCATATCAATTATCTTTTTAAAAACACTGAGAAAGACTTGAATAAAGCTTGTTTTCTCTCAAGCACCTTAAACAATTAGTTGGTTATTTAAAAAATGCTTTTATTGTGATTCATTTGCGGTTGCAATCTTGGCTTTGTTTTTTACTGTGGGATTCACATCGATAGGGCTCATTTTGTGATTTATGTTGCATGGCATTTTCTAAACATTTTTGGGCTATTCTTACAATACCTTTTCATAAAGCAAGACCTTTGCAGAAGCTGGAGCCCATCTCGTGTTTAAAATCCCCTAAAACTATACTTTTTTTGCTAATCTATTTAGGAATCTCTAAAATGAAGATAAAAAGTCTGTCAAACAGCTTAGGTATCAATGGAGTTGTCTGAGATGGGGAAATTCTGCCAAAAGAAACTTGTTGTTTAGTACTATACAATTCAGAACACCTGGGTATTGTTTTTTTTTTTCTAATGTGAATAAAAGAGGCCAGATTTTCCAGATGTATTCTTCTTATTCTATACCTAAGTTATTAAAAAAAAAATACCCTTTTAAATAGGAGCTTTTTATTTAAAAAAAAAAAAATAGACACACCAGTACCCTCATACTAAGGGGATTAGTCAAATTCAAAACTCCAGGTATTGAAAGCAGACTGGGAGAGTTGTATAGAAAAGGGTTTATTAGAAGGATAATGGGTACTCACAGAATCACTAGGAGAGTTAGAGAACCAAGCACATATCTAAACAGGAAGGAAAAATTCCCTGCAGGATGCCTCAGCAGATCTGGTTCAGGTGCACAGATGGCTGCTGCCATGAGACACTTCTCAGTCCCTTTATCACTGAGTTAGAAGCCATTGCGTAAGCTGCAAAGGAGCTGAGAAAGCAAGTGTATAACAGTTTTCCTCCAGCTCCTGTGATACAAAGGCAGACTCATAAAGGGGGCATGTCCTAATAAACTTTATAGGTGCTACCTTTATGATAACCTGCATCAAAAGTACATATGAAAGCTTGGCACCTATGACTCAGTGGTTAGGGTGCCAGTCACAAACACCAGGGCTGGCGGGTTCAAACCTAGCCCAGTCCTGCTAAACAACAATGACAGCTATAACAAAATAATAGCCGGGCATGGTGGCAGGTGCCTGTAGTCCAGCTACCTGGGAAGCTGAGGCAAGAGAATCGCTTAAGCCCCAAGAGCTTGAGGTTGCTGTGAGCTGTGACGCCATGGCACTCTACTGAGGGCAACCCAGTGAGACTATGTCTCAAATATTAAAAAAAAAAGGCACTAAGTCAAGTTTACCAGGTTATCTAACAACAGAGTTGTTTCTAAATTCATTAGATATTTAGATCATAACTTTTCTAATCCACGGTTAATGATTTTGTAAAGCAAAAAATACCAATTGAATGTTCTTGTTTCCGACAGCGCTGGTGTGGGCAGGACAGGCACCTACATTGTAATAGACAGCATGCTGCAACAGATAAAAGACAAAAGCACAGTTAACGTCCTGGGATTCCTGAAGCATATCAGGACACAGCGCAACTACCTCGTCCAGACTGAGGTAGGGCGTACGCCGGTGCCCTCATGAGACTCCTGCACATGCTTTCACTTTTAGCTTTCAGATTTATTCTCTTAGGCCTAGAGGGAATTTACAGGTTTGTATTAGAAAATATATTGACCATGACACTATTCTGTGGTTCACAGTTTTCCATTTTTGTGTGGATCTTAACTTTTGGATTTCTCAAAAGCACTTGTGAAGCAGATGCAGTTGTATTAAGAGCTATGTCAGATAAACTTGTTGTCTGGCCTGTGAAATGTACAGGAGAGGATGGTTTGAAAGCCCTTCATTGAACACACACTTCTCAATTGCTGTCGGAAATCAGCCTGTGATTCCAGGCACAGTATAGAATACAGAGCTAAACTTAACACACCCTCTATCCTAAAATAAGTTCAGGTGGATAAGTAAGTGAGTGTTTGAGCAAACCACCTAACTATAGATGCTTGAAGGGCTTGACTGGGCAGTCCCTGTTCCAGGGCAGAGTTAATGGAATGCAGGTGTCATGAAGGAGGGCTATCCCTTAACCCCACTTGGTGACTGCCATGCATGACGCCTTTCAGGAGCAGTACATTTTCATCCATGATGCCTTGTTGGAAGCCATTCTTGGAAAGGAGACCGAAGTATCTTCAAATCAGCTGCACAGCTATGTTAACAGCATCCTCATACCAGGAGTAGGAGGAAAGACAAGACTGGAAAAACAGTTCAAGGTAGTGCCTTGAATAAATTTCTTTCATTGCATAAAGCAAGGAGTATTAAAAATGCCACGAGTTTAGGGATCATGTCGTCTTTGAGTTAATTATATAGACTGAAGCAGATTACTGTTTGTGCTGTGTTTTTTTCTCCATAAATGTAGATGCTTGAAGGAAAGGAAAATCAAATTTTGACCCATATATGAATCATTAGTATCGAACTAGATAATACAGTTCTGTATTTTCTTTGTTTTTAGAGACAGAGTCTCACTTTGTCACCCTCAGTAGAGTGCCATGGCATCATAGTTCACAGCAACCTCCAGCTCTTGGGCTTAGGTGATTCTTTTGCCTCAGCCTCTAGTCCTGTATTTTCTTCTGAGAAATTTAAGATTTCATCTAAACATAAATATCAGCCCTTGGCCACAATGACATGACTCAGTCATTCCTGTCCAAAAAATATTCTCTGTACTTTTTCCATCTTACCTTTATTAAAAGTCATCTATTTTACTTTTACCGAGAATGGTTATTTATAGACATATTATCCTAAAAATAGGCCTATTTAATAAACTATTCCAGAAGATAATTTAGAAATTAAAAAAAGGGTTACTGAACAATACTAGAAGAAAGATCATTTTACACACATGGTTGTTCTTTTTCTTTGTTGGGGCATGAATAAGTTTAAAGGCAGTTAAGGTGTATACAGAATTGACCGGAATGCAGGTGAAAAAGAGAGAACAAAAGGATTATTAAAACAATTAAGATCAGAAAAGGTCAGTCATCGGATAATAAATCAGAATTTATTGTAACTCCCAAGCATGTTGGCTGTCTCTTCAGTTTCAAAGTGCTGTGCTATTTATTAGTCTCTTCATGTTTTAAATTCTATTTTTTTGCACATTGTTCTATATGTAAGTAATGTCTCACTTTGGGTCAAGATAGAAATAATGAAATGAATCTGTGCAGTTTCAGTTTTCATGGTAAAGCTTTCCATAGATTCTGAAACCTTCATGAGACTATCAAGCAAATTATAACAAGTGACATGAAATGAAAAGTAGAAACTTTCCCTGAGTTCAGTCATAACAATAATTTTACATTTCTTGCTTTCCTTTTAACATCCTCACTGCAATAAAACCTGGGTAACAGTGTATCATTTTAAATGTTGAAAATTAGGTAGCATTTCTGCAGTATTTCTTACGCATATATTTTCTTTAATTCATTGAAGACACCAGTGCCTTCAGTTGGAAGCCAGATATTTGGTTCTTTTATAGGCACTAACCATTTCAGAACTCCGAGTGAGGATAAAGCAAGAATCAGAACCTCAAAGGAAAATTACGTCTGGGGCCCATGACACTCAGAGCAGGACACTGTTCCCACAGACTCCATTAAGTTAGACCCCCCCCAACAATAGGATTGACAAAGTGGCTCAACCACTCCATAAACAGGAAGAAAACTACTAGACGATAGTCTATAAGAGCCTTAGAACAATGTCAATTCAGTTCAGTGGAAATGTACTGAGAACCTACTAAGTTTGCCTTTCTTGTCAAGAAACATGATTAGCCTTTTTGTATCTTGTTCTGTCACCAGGCAGACTGCCGTAGTGTCATGATAGCTCACTGCAACCTCAAACTCCTGGGCTCAAGCAGTACTCCTGCCTCAGTCTCCTGGGTAGCTGAGAGTACAGGCACATGCTGCCAGACCTGGCTAATTTTTCTATTTTTTGGAGAGATGGGGGTCTTGCTCAAATTCCCAGCCTCAAGCAATCCTCTAGCCTTGCCTTCCACTGTTCTAGGATGATAGGTGTGAGCCACTATACCTGGCCCAGAACACAGGCTTTTCACTCCCTTTCTTTATTCACTCCTGCCATACCCATGATTACCTTCTTAGTAGTGTTCAGCAGTGAGGAATTACTGGAACAAAATTCACAACAGCAGTGACATGGTGTAACAGAAAAAGCCACATAATTCAATAAATATCTATTACACACATAGTACCTGTCTGTCCTCAGGAGGCCTAGGGCCTGATAGGAGAAATGATATTAGCTTACAACCAAGGTCACTGAGAAAAGGACCACTAGTAAAGCATAGAAGTGTTGGGGGGGGGGGTGAGCACAAAAATGTTTTTGTTCATCAGTTATCAGATTATTGGGATTTTTGCCAACATGTCAAGCAAATGCTATCAGTGATATCTCTGAGTAAAGACTGAAATGTTGCTTCTCTTTCAGCTGGTCACACAATGCAATGCGAAATATGTGGAATGCTTTAGTGCTCAGAAAGAGTGTAACAAAGAAAAGAACAGAAACTCTTCAGTCGTGCCATGTAAGATCTTAAAATCAGTTTGACTTAGTTCAAGTAGTATTTTTTAAACTGGATTTTAAGTATTATAGAAAGTGGGAGAGGTAGCAGTCAGTGCCAGCCAGTTGCTCCGTCTATCTGACACGAAGTCTTGCTTTGGTTGACCTTGCAATGCAAAAATTAGGTTATTTCTACAACATTTGAACTTAAACTACAATAATAAAGTGGTTATCACTGTGGCATTAACACACTTTTAAAACTTAAGAGTCCTAGGTTAAAGTGTACCACTAGGAGTACCTCATTAAATTATTGTGCCTCTTAAGAGCAAGGCATTGTTGATTGGTGGTGACCTTTGTGTGAATAAGTTAGGACACAGCAGAGGACAGCATGTGCATTCTAAAGACACAGGCTTGGGTGATCACTGGAGACCTTTACCTCTGCTGAAAAAAGCCACTGTTTTCTAACCCCGACATGAACAGAAAAGTAGGAAGAAAAGGTTGGAACCAGAGCAAAGTACAGTGTGTTTGTATGATTGTAGGAATATCAAACCAGGGTCAGAAGTTTTCTGAAACCTGCTGTCAGGTCTGTACAGAGTATGCTCTCAGTGATCTCCTGTGAAAGTTCTCCCACAGTAAAACTCTATTTCTACAAAGCCTATGTCCTTCTGAATCTGTGCAGTGAAACTGCATTTTACATTCTGCCTTAACTGATAACACGTGAGCTTATTTTAAAATATAGATAGGCCTTAGAAAGGGAAGCCAGGGGACTATGTTATTCATCAAGTAAATCTCAAAGAGCTGTTGGTTCTGTGCGTATAATAAGGCAAATGTGGTGTTTTTGTTTTTTCCATATGATAGCTGAGCGTGCTCGAGTGGGTCTTGCACCATTGCCTGGAATGAAAGGAACAGATTACATTAATGCTTCTTATATCATGGTGAGAGTCAACAGTTAATTATAAGTAAAGTCAATTAAACTGAAAGGTGTTAAAGAGCAGATACCACCTATGTGACTGATTTCATTCTTGAAATAATTCTCAAGGTGTACAAAGAATTCTGTATCTTGAAACTCTTAACAAAACATCAGTGGGGGCATAAAAATAAATGCTTCTCAAGGAATGAATTTTATTGTTAATTTCACCCATCTAGTTTTGAATAAATGTTGAAATTACTGCTAAGTAAAAACAGCAGGGGTAACTGGAAGTGAATTGCGCATGGAGAGAAAATTGTCTGCACAATGTTAGCAGAAGTACATCTAAAAATTAGCCAAATGTGCTGAACGCCTTTCTCAGTTATTTTAGTGCAGTCAAAAGAATGTTGTCTTATTTCGTGCATATATTTTACTACCACAAAGTTAGAATGAAACACTTATAATCATTGGTTTTCCTCTTCCCAATTAAAGGGCTATTATAGGAGCAATGAATTTATTATAACCCAGCATCCTCTGCCACATACTACGAAAGATTTCTGGCGAATGATTTGGGATCATAACGCACAGATCATTGTCATGCTGCCAGACAACCAGAGCTTGGTAAGTAAAGCACATCTGCTATATATTAATGAGCCCAGGAGGCTACAAGCATAAATTACTTTGATACCTTGCCATAGGACTATAGCAACCATATATGCTAGGGAGGGAATTTAGCCTTCTCATCTTGAAGTCGGTAGTGATTCCTTTCATAGTCTCATAATACCGTCCCTGTCATAATACCGTCCATCATTTGATTCTCAGATGCTGTTGACACCACCTTTCCTTGTACTAGATGTGGCATTGTGGTAGGAGGTTTGGCAAATGGCCTTCTTACTGCTAACCTTATTAATACAACTTTACACGGACCTTGGAAAATAAATAATAATTGCAGCTTACATGTAGGCATGTAAAGACATGTTTGTGTGTAAACACAGTTACATGTGAACTTATAAATTTTAGCTCACTTAATCTTCTCAACAGGTTTACGACCTGAATACTATTATTATCTCATCTAAGGGCTGAGAAAACTGAAGGGACTAACTTGCCCAAGAACACACATAAATAATTGCAAGCCAAGATTTCACTTGAGTCTTTGGTCGCCAGATCCCATGTTTCCTCTTGTTCTTTTTTTTGTTTTTGTTTTTTGAGACAGAGTCTCAAGCTGTTGCCCTGGGTCAAGCTGTTGCCCATCACAGCTCACAGCAACCTCAAACTCTTGGGCTTAAGTGATTTTCTTGCCACAGCCTCCCAAGTAGCTGGGACTATAGGCACCCGCCACAATGCCTGGCTATTTTTTGTTGCAGTTGTCATTGTTGTTGTAGCTGGCCTAGGCCAGGTTCAAACCCGCCAGCCCAGGTGTATGTGGCTAGTGCCCAAGCCAACGAGCTATAGGCACTGCCAGACTCCATGTTTTTAATCACTTTACTGCATTATGTATCCTACCCACATCATAAAAAAAATGTTTTCCAGGCAACAAAAAGAAAAAAAGGTATCGAAAGTACTAATAATGTATCATTACTTGTTTTTTCCACTCCATAGGCAAGCCAGATCCATTATAGGGAAGGGGAAAAGGGAGGGCTCTTTTGTTCCAACTTAAGATCCTCTTTGAGACTGAATAGACTACTTCTTTCCCCTCCTGTGGTCCTTCACTATTTCAGTCTCTCTATAGAGGACTGAGCAGGCTGAGAAGACACACTTAAATGTTTCTTCAGTTTCAGCCGTCAGAGGTTATGTGGACACGTGAGCCCACAAGGTCAAAACAACCAGCGACGAGGCTCTGCCTCTGCACACGTCAGATTAATGAGTTCTTTAATCAAGGAAGAAAAGCATGCGATGGAACCCTCATCTCTGTGACATGCGTTTGACTGTGTGCCCAGTCAGTAGGAACTTCTTCATTCTGTCGCGCTTTGCTCCAGCTTCAGGATACCAAGACGACTGCTTCTGGATGATGGAATGGCAGCAAAGTTGAGAATCTTAAACTAAAAGCTGGAGTGTAAATTTTTAAATTAGCTGGCAACAGGGGTCTATTCTGCTTGGCATGTGGAAATTGGAGGCATTTAAGGTTGTTAAAACGTTCATTTGTTGGATGAGTCAGTGTTTTGTTAGTGCCACTTAACAGAGGGCAGTCACCACAAAGCGTCTGCTCAAGGGCTGTACCAGGAGGATTCAGTGGTGGTGCGGGGAGAACTGGACCAGATAGTGGACACATGCTCTGCGGATGCAGGCCTCGAGAGGCCAGGCTAGAACACGCATGTCTGCTCTCTCAGCTCTGTGTTTCAGCATTGCACAGCTTGCTCCTAAAGACGATAACTTTACAAGACCATAATCCTGTCAGTAGCCCAAAAGTCACTGGTTCTTAGAAAGCACTGCTGCAGATGGCCAGACATCTTTGACCTATAAACACATTTGTAAGCAAAATAGCCACAAGACCAAAGAGCCAGCTGAATTAAGAAGTAGCATTTGTAAATAGCCAGGCGTTGTGGCGGGCACCTATAGTTCAATCTACTTGGGAGGCTGAGGCAGGAGGATCACTTGAGCCCAGGAGTTTGAGATTGCTGTGAGCTATGATGCCAGGATACTCTACCCAGGGTGACAGAGTGACATCCTGTCTCAAAAAGAAGAAGTAGCATTTGTGTTTCTTGGTCCTTCAAGGTGAACAACTATTCCCTAGTTTGGTACCTATTCAAGTTTTTTTCTGCTTTTCTTCTATCATAATTAAAATCCCTTTGGTAACCTTTAAATAGGTAATTTATTCATGTTATCTTAATATTTCTTCTAGGTTTTATTATTCACACTTTGCAGATATGGAAATTAGGCTCAGAGAGATTAATTAATTTATCCAGGACCGCATCCAATCCCACATCTTATGCTTAACCTCTACATACTGGTTAAACCCTGTCCATCATTGCCTTATATCTTTAATATCTGTTTCCTTGGACAAAATGTATTAAAACCCACGACAGTCACAGACTTCTTTTGTATAGACTAAACCCAATTGCTAATCTGTTTCCCCTTATGCTGAGCTTTAAAAATAAAAATGTACTTGGCAATAAGCTATATTGAAACTTGAAAGGGTGATAAGTCTTATTGGACTCTTGGCTCATTTCTAATGCAACAATGTAAGATTAAACAAAGCTTTCTTTGTTTTGAACATTCTTCAGAATTATTTCTGACTTCAATGATAGTAGCTAGGCATTTTCAGGAAAAAGTCCATGGAATTCTGTATATTATGCTATGGGCTATAGTTTGCCGTCAGAGCTGATTAGGAAATTAGGGGAGGGAGAAAGGTATATCATCATAATCACATTTCTCATAGTCTCCAACCTATGCAACAATTAACTTTTTCATAAGCATCCATAATCTTCAGGGATGGAATTCAAGTACCAAGCCTGAATATCTATTTTTAATCTTAAAATGGATGAACATTTAAAGCTTTCCTGATTCAAGGCTGAAAGACTCTCTGTGTTATTCCCTCTTGAAAACTAACATTGACAGATTAACTTTTCTTTTGAAGAGTGCCTTCTACTTACAGCCAACATATTTATTTATGTATGACTTCTTTCCCAAAAAGGTTCTATCCTTTACAGTTTCTTTGCAGTGTGATTTTAGACAATTTATGGACACCCTCCCACCCCAAGTTTTCTTGTCCTCATCTGTTCAATCCCTTATCTTAGAGTTAATATCCACAATTTATTAAGAACTCATACAACTCCAGTAGAATAATGAATAACCTGATTTTAAAATGCCAAAAAACCTGAATAGACATTTCTCCAAAGATTACATAAAAATAACCAGTATGTATATGAAAAGGTACTTAACACCATTGATCATCCGTGCAAATCAAAACCACTGTGCACTACACCACCTCACACCCATCAGGATGGTAATTAAAAAATCAAAGGATACCAAATGTTGGTGAGGGTGTGGAGGAAAGGGAACTAGTGTACCCTGTTAGGGGTGATGTAGACTGGTAGAGCCGTTATGGGAAACAGTATGGAGGTTTCTAAAGGAACTAAAAATACAAAGACCATATGATCCCGCAATCCTTGTTCTGGGCATATACCCAAAGGAAATGAAATCACTACCTTATAAAGATATATGTATTCCCATGTTCAATGCACAGTTATTTATAATTTCTAAGATGGGAAAACAACCTAAGTGTCCATCAATGGACAAATAAAGAAACTGTAGCACATATATATAATGGAATATTATTCAGTCCTAAAAAAAGAATAAACTCTCACCATTTGCCAAAATGTGGATAAGCTTAGAGGACATTATATTATATTAAGCCAAGCTTGGCACCTGTGGCTCAAGCGACTAAGGCGCCAGCCACATACACCTGAGCTGGCAGGTTCAAATACAGCCCAGGCCCACCAAACAACGACAGCTGCAACCAAAAAATTACTAGGAGTTGTGGCAGGCGCCTGTAGTCCCAGCTACTTGGGAGGCAGAGACAGGAGAATCACTTGAGCCCAGGAGCTAGAGGTTGCTGTGAGCTATGATGCCACAGCACTCTACCCAGGGCGATAGCTTGAGGCTCTGTCTCAAAAAAAAAAAAGAAAGAAAGAAAGAAATAAGCCAGACCCAGAAAGAAAAATATTGCATGACCTCACATACACGTGGAATCTTTAAAAAAAAAAAAAAAAAAAAAACGGAGATAAAAGAACAAAGCAGTGGTTATGGGGCAAGCAAGGGTTAGGTAGGGAGGAAACGGAGAGATGGGTGCCACGGAGAGAGGACACAAAACAGCAGATAAGGAAGATGAACACTTCTACAGATCTCACGTGCGGTAGGAGCTACTGCTAAGACAGCGCTGTGTTTGGCTGTGTTTGGGATTCGTACTAAGTGAGAGTTCAGCTGCTCTTGCCACAAAGAAACAAAGAATAACTACATGAAATAATAGACGTGTTAATCTGCTTCACTTTAATAACCTTTCTTCTATTTCTGTTTATCCCATGTATCATGTTAAATATATATAATACATTTTAACAGTATAATGTAAACATTAAAAAGGACTATTTATGAAAGTCCTTTGTACAGTGCTATTCAATTGTTAGGAAATAACAATTAGCATACCTTGGTTGCTTAAGCAGTTGTGAAATAATAAATTTAAAATTAACTGACCTATCTCCTTTTTCACTATGTTAATTCATTACAGAACATTTCTCACCTGGAGGTTAATACATCCCCTCAAGGGGGAGTGTTTTGGGGTTGCTACAGTGACAGGCAAAAAGTTTTGTAATATATTTTACCATAGAATACAAACAATAACCATTGAACACTGGATAGGGATATAATTTTATGACCTCAATTTAAATGTTGGCTTGAGAGGTATGGGAAGTGGCAAATATAAGAAAGCAGTTTGCAAGAAAATTCAAGAAAAAACGTTACACATACTACAGAGGATTTTTATTTATTTTACTTATTTATTTATTTATTTTGGTTCTCAAAGGCAGAAGATGAGTTTGTGTACTGGCCAAGCCGAGAAGAATCCATGAACTGTGAGGCTTTTACCGTCACCCTTATCAGCAAAGACAGACTGTGCCTCTCTAATGAAGAACAAATTATCATCCATGACTTCATCCTTGAAGCTACACAGGTAACCTAAAGCTCTGTTCCTCAGTAATAGCACATTCCTGGGCTGTGGTCCATCCCTCTAAGGAATAAGGAAGTAACTTACTGCCCTCAAGACAGGCTCAGGCATTTGAGTAAGACTTGATTTTAAATATATACATTTCCTTCCCCCCTCCTCAAATATTTGCTTTTTCCAGCTGGCTAGATGAAATGTAACAGTTCTTCTGATTCAGCATGCATACAAATAGGTCATTGACCTAATTATAAAAACAATATACTAGAGCTCAATATTTTCTTTGCATCGGAAATGTAAGCCTTGCAATGTGTTGCAGAGGTGTTAAGATTTGGGGGGGGGGGGTGCGGTGCCTGTGGTTCAGTGGGTAGGGCGCCAGCCAGGGTTGACGGGTTTGAACCTGGCCTCAGCCAAACTACAGCAAAAAAAAGCTGGGTGTCGTGGCAGGCGCCTGTAGTCCCAGCTACTCGGGAGGCTGAGGCAAGAGAATCGCCTAAGCCCAGGAGTTGGAGGTTGCTGTGAGCTGTGATGCCACAGCACTCTACCAAGGGTGATAAAATGAGACTCTATCTCTTAAAAAAAAAAAAAATTATTTTTTTAAATACAATAAATACAATATTTTTGTATATTTGATGTTTAATAGCTGCCTTCTTGTGGGATGGGTAAGGCAGGGAGCCCTCTTTAGTAGTTTAAATAATGGTCGGGGAGGGGTTCTTTAATTTAAAAAATAAAGTAGAGTAGGATACATGGTCTCTTATAATTTGTCCTGAACAAAATGAGAGTCTACTGTTTCACTAACATGAATTGCTCATTTTTTAATGGCAGGTGGATCTACCGACTGTTCTTCTTCCCAGCTGCTGTTTGGTTAACCTGGCATTGTTCACACTTACCTGTGACATGCTTTCCCCAGAGAAAGTTCTAGTCATCAGATTACAGTTCTGTGAAATAAAGGATGAACTATATTTCGTGTTGTGTTGGTTACAGGATGATTATGTCCTAGAAGTTCGACACTTTCAGTGTCCCAAATGGCCCAACCCAGATGCTCCCATAAGCAGTACCTTTGAACTTATCAACGTCATCAAGGAAGAGGCCTTAACCAGGGATGGCCCCACCATTGTTCATGATGAGTATGTCTGTTTCTTAATGTTAAAATGCAGTCCTTGTTCTTGTTGATTGCCATAGTAGAGGAAAGGGAAGACAGAATTTTAAAACCTACATCCTCTCTCTCTGCTTTTGACAATTTTTTGTCGTTGCTAATGTATGTGCAAAGTATGAGGGTTCTGTTTGCGTTTTTATTTATTTATTTATTTATTTTAGAGATACTCTCTTGCCCTGGGTCAAGTGCTGGGGCATCCTAGCTCATAACAACCTCAAACTCCTAGGCTCAAGCTATCTTCTTGCCTCAGCCTCCCAATTAGCTGGGGCTACAGGCCTGTATCACCATGCCCAGTTTATTTTTCTATTTTTAGCAGTGACAGGAGTATCACTTTTGCTTAGACTGGTCTTGAATTCCTAAACTCAAGCAATCTACCTCCCTTGGCCTCCCAGAGTGCTGGGATTATAAGTGTGAGTCACTGCACCTGGCCTGTGTACATTTTAATATAGCAAAGTCTTCTAAGACTCTAAAATCCAGAGCATGTTCTAGACAGCAGAACACACTCTGGATTGTAAAGTAGACTTGCGTACTTCTTAAGCTTTTATGTTTCAGTAACAAAAAACTTTAAAAACTGTTTACATTAACTAAATAGTTATATTTATATATTTTAAAATCATTACACTGAATTTCAGCAAATATTTGTTAGGAATGGAAACTTTCAAAGTATGGTTTAGTAGATTGATAAGGATAAAGTTACTATTAATAATATTTAGAGTTTATGTTGTGTTCAAGAGTTGATAGTACTCTCTTTTGGAACTTAAAGAATATGATCCAAACGAGAACAAATAGTCTGGGCACAGTGGCTCATGCCTGTTATCCTAACACTCTGGGAGGCCAAGGAGGGTAGATCACCTGCGCTCAGGAGTTTGAGAGCAGCCTGAGTGAGAGTGAGACCCCAAATCTAAAAATAGCTGGGCATTGTGGCTGGCACCTGTAGTCCCAGCTACAGTTGTGTAACCCGGGATCATTAGAACCTCACAAACCTTCAGCTCCTATGGAATCAAGTGTACATCTTCATCCTAATTTCTCTTTTAGTTCCAGGGTAGCTCTCTTAGTCAGCAAATTCTCAGTTCATCCATTATGTTCATTAAATTACCAACTACTCTAGTAGCATAAGATGTTAACTGAATGCCATATCATGAAGTGCACAAAACTTTGGGCTGACATCAGCACCTTGATCCCAAGTCATAGCATTCTCCTGCTTGAAGGGGCCATTGGCTGCTTCCCAAAAGTTTTGCAGTCTTTCCTAGGAAACAGTGACGATTCAAAATGTTGGCCTGACTCTTAATTAGTAACATTAAAAATTAAGATTAGAAAAGCATTCTAGTTGAAACCTTAATTAAAAAACAAAGGATATAAGATCTCTGAAGATGCAACAGCCAACAACATTGTCTAAATAGCACAGACAGCCTCAGAATAGCTGGGTGGTTACTACTTCTAGAGATTTCCCCTCTCCTTTCTTCCCCTCCTCCAACTAATCTGGGTCTGTTCTTCAAATGGCCTCTGGGTTTTACTAGCCCTCATCAACTCAGGCCAAATTCCGATGTTGACAGACTTTGCTGTTGTGGTAGGTAGTACTCTGAGGAATTCTGTCCTGCAGTCAATAATGCAGGTAACCAGGGTAAAGAAAGAGGGAAAGAAAAACCATCATCACTATTTAAACATTGTACGGAACTGTTTGATTACACATGTATATTTGGTATTTGCCTTACTTATTCAGTAATTTTTATTTCATGTCACATGCTAAATATGTTATCTGTGGAATTAACCAAATATAGCTTGTCTTGAGCCTAAATATGAAAAGAGAAAATTAATCTTAAACCAGTAAATCTGCAAATATCATGTAGATAGTCTTTGTTTAATGACAACTGTAGAGATGTATTAATTCATTTATCTTCCACTGGCAGAGGATAACTTGATTCCATAGAAATTACTTTTCCACAAGACAGCTTTAAATTTTTTAAAGATTTGCTAGCTCCAGTATAATACTCTGAATACATAGCTTTTCAGTTTCTATCTTACCTACTTTTTGTACCTCTAGCCCTTTCCTGATGGCCCTCAAACACCTCAACTCGTCACCCCCCTGCCTGACCCCAACTACTTAGTTGTACAAATCAGAAACACATTAGTCCTCTTTGAGTCTTCCTCACCTCCACATCTCATTGGCCACCTAGTTTTGTTGGTTTAATCCACTCTTTGAGTGTGCTTTTCAAAATCTTTTACAATCAGGTCTAAGTTTACTTTTCTACCTATCACTCCAGTTCACCACAGAAATACCGTGGTGTCTACAAAGGCTGTTTCTTCTGAATGTCCTCTCATACAGCACACAGTTCAAAAGTCCCTCTTTTTGAACCATCTCTTAACACATCCAGAGGCACTAATCAAAATCATTAGCAAATACTGCATCCTTCCCTGTGCATATACCACCTAATGTCCTTCCTTTCTGTCATGTCATACTGTAACCATTTGTGTACTTGACTGTCACTCTACACTGCTGAGGCCAGCAGTGGTGACTAATTCATCCCAGTCTTCGTAAGGTGAAGCTCAATGCCTGGGACAGAGTGGGTGCTGGATAAGTATTTGCATGAATAGTTACTATGCTTTTAAATGATAGTGACTGGTGACTTACAAACTAGGGATGTGTACTCCTATATAAAGTATCCCCAGAGAGCCTTTCTTTCTGTCATGTTTATTGTTCAAAGTCATTTTGCGTGCTTAAATTCTTCTGTGAACCATAAAACTATTTTATAAAGCTCTGTCAAAAGTAGAGAGCGAGCGGCTTAGAGGGAAGCCCTGTGTACTTCCAGTATTAAGGCAAACAGTGCACAAACCACACGATGGTATCCATCTGGTCTTCACAGACATCTTTTTAACAGCTACTTTCAGGGTTCTATGTGCCTGGGGATGAAGTTTCTAGATAAATGAGCTATGGAAACAATTCCTCACCAAAAAGTAAAGTCTATTTGAGGACAGCACAGCTTAAAGGCAAACTGCTTAATTCTCAGCATCCTAAATTCATCTGTTCAAAGCTATTCTGCTCAGAGGCTGATCTGTAACATTACTGTCAAATTTTAAAAATCGTCTATATTCTTGTAGTAGTTTAAAACATAGCATGGTTCTTACACAGTCTTATAGACAATTGTATATAAGATTTTTACCCAATTTTTTTCCTTGACTTACAGAATGAAGAATAGTTTCCTCTGTAAATACTTAAGTAGATACATCTATCACCCTTTTGGATGTCAGTAGGCAAATTTTCAGTTGTCCCTCCAAGGCCTTTCCAGGAGATCCAAGAGGTCAAAACTACTTTCAACGATAATAATAAGAATTACTATGTGCCTTGTTCACTCCCATTCTGTCATGAGTGGTCAATAGAGTTTTCCAGAGCAACATGAAATGTGGTGACATTACCCTAAGGGCTAATAGAATGAGTGCTCATATGTTCTTGTATTCTAACATTTTCTCAGTTTTAATTTCTAATACAATAAACATTGATAGATAGCAGCTCAAATAAGCAGATACTCTTTGGAGATCCTCAGTAACTTTTTATATTAATTTGGTCCAGAGATCAAGAGTTTGAAAACTGCTGAGATATTCTAATAAAAGACACAAATATATAGATTTCTTTCTATATCAACTGCTGCAAAGATACCTAACTCATTATTAATTACGAATTCATTTCTTTCTTTTAATTCTCAAAATCATTGCACTTAGAAGGTCATTTTAGGAGCCCTTTTCACATATGAGAAAACAAGCAGAGTGAAGTTAATTAACATGCCTAGGACCTGTGTATACATAAGTTAGTGAATGTCAGAGTCTGGACCAGCTACATATTTGAAGTTCATGGTGTCCAGTGTAAAATGAAAATGCAGAGCACTGTGGTCAAAAATCGAGAACTTCCAAATGGCAACAGCAAAATATGAAATGAACCATAGGAGCTTTGTGAGCAGTCAGGCCATCGAGGCCCTGGGTCTCATGCAACTAACTGCACAGGTGGCAGACCAGGAAGCCAGCCCTGGTTCTGGTTGTAGTCAAATCCACATCTGCCTAAGCCCACGAGTGAACAGTGCCTCCCCCTGGTTTTCACAGTAGGTGTGTCTACCATTCATCTCTCACTTTTTCAAATTGTGCTTTAATTTTTTCCTATTGTATTTTCTCATTGACCCCAAGTCTTCATTTTTAAAGCCCTGTGGAAGGCTTTTCTATTGCCATTCTTCCCTGGGACTGATACATATTCAAGTTTTAATTCTTTGTTTTCTTCCCTGCCCAACTGATTTTGGAGAGAAGCTTCACTTTCTTCACAGTAACAAAGAGTTAGAACTATGGATTCCATTCTTGGTTATGAGTTTTAAAACAAAGTCTTAAAAGCAAAGCTATAATAATTGTAAGTAATTATATGAAATACTAAAGAATAAGATTAAATGGCCACAGATATTGTGTACACTGACCTCACAGGGAACCTCAGTGTGTTTCAAAGTGAAGATAGACAGTATAGACAGTGCTTAAAAACTTACTGCGTATCAGATACATAAAATACTTTAATTACTTTTGTAATTTCTTCGAAAGATGAAAAACCTTTTGTTTGTTTTTTTTCCTTAACAACAGTAGTTATACAAATATGACTTTTAACGGAGCCTTTAGAGGAAGTAACAAACTACCAAAACCAGTGAATTTCTATGCCACTTTCATTTGATGTAGGTTAATCATTCCTTGCAATACTTTTGCACCAAGTCCCTAAAGTTTTAAGTACAAAGTCACGGAACTCAATAAACACCCTTTAATCCTACTTAATTTATAAAGTTCTGAATGATAATGGCCTTTATTTTTCCCAGACTTTATTCCTTCATTATAATGCTTGGTATGTAGAAGATAGTTAAAAGTATCTGTGCATTTCACTGATTTGACTTACTAGTTTCTTCTCAGCATTTGAAGCCTTATTATCTAGGTATAATTTAACTGCTTGCTGAAGAG